GTTTTTTCCAGTTATCTAAAATGATTTTTCAAGTCTTGCTTTAGTTTTAATTTAGTTTTAGTCACACTTTTGATGTACGTGTACAATGACAATAAAGGGCTTTTCTATTCTATTCTATTAGTGTCACGGCTGCGCTGGCAGCCCGTGGGGATGAGGGAAAGGAGGACCCAAATGCAGGACTCTGGTGCGTTTTTATTTACAGTGCAGAAAATAAAGACAACCAATAAATCCCTGTGCGTCCCCGACTCCCGTTCCGTGTCTCCCTTTCGTGTCTCTGCTCCCTGTGTACCATCCACCGGCTGCTTCCTCATTCCCGCAAATCCTCCTGGTAAACACACACAAAGGCAGCCTTCAGAAAACTCTAGAATCGCGGCAGACTAGCACTTACTGGCTTGCTGTGAAACGAACAGCTAGTCACGCATAACAATCCTGCATCGTGGAGCTCTCAGCCACACTGCTATGTAGCTCGCCGACGACGTTAGGTCAGCTCCAGGTGTGTGTGATGATCCAGTTGGCAGGGCCACACCCACCAGGCCTAAAGGTGCCCGACACAGCCGCACCCCTACACATGCACACCTACATACGCCTATATATAGAAACAAAGGACCGCAGCACAATACAAGGACACGGTACCCAATATATTATGTAAGTCCATAACTGCTCACTTTAAATTTACTGCCTGGTAATTTTACTGGGGACTACTTTCAGTTATGTGTCAATACATGTTTGGTGGACTGCATGAAACAGTGTTTGTGTTGCCTCCGGAGTGCAACTGTTCAGCTTATTCTACTCTTTCTTCTTGCAGCTGGTTTGACACAGAGCTGTGGATCAATCACACCTTGGTGCCACATCTCCACCAAAACCCCTCACTGCGACTCGTGGGCTTACCGCAGCTGCAGTACGCACATGCACTCAGTAGCCAGGCGGTTCACCTTCAGTCAAACAACAGTGGAACGATACCCGAGCTCCTCACTGCCCTTCACATGGCAGGAAGAAGCAGGAAACAGTAAGTGGAATTGTTAGAGCAACACGAGTGCTTCTCTCAGACATGCTGAGTGTGTTCATTAATACTGTTGAATTGACTCTTTTGCAAATAATGAGGCGTGTGAGCCCATTAGAAGTTGCCAAAGAGCAAAACAATGGAACGTTGTTTTTCTTCTGAAATCAAATGGAGCATTAACAAGCAAACGACCAAAAACTGTGGTGCACATTTTGTCTGTGGTGTCCAATCGTCTTCTAATGTCGTTATTTATCTGTTTGTTTATGGCCCACAGATTCTTGCATAACATTCACCCTCCATCGTAATGATAAACTCAAAGCTTTTATTTACGCATGGGACACGCTTATCAAATTGCATTCATTTACATATTCAGTCGACAAAAAAAGGACAAAAATAAAAAGGTGAGTTTTTATTTGATGATTTCTTTTTTTCGCTCCAGGTTTGAAGCTCTTTCTATAGAGTTCACTCAGTACCACAGAGAGTCTGCTTTATTTCTGTGCGTGTGCATAAAACTTGAGCAGACTCGGACACAAACCATCACATCTTGTCTCTCTATCCATCCACTCCTCATCCCTTTATCCGTGTCAGGACTGGACCTGCAGACGGCACTTCCGGTAACAAATCCTACAGACTTTCAAATGAAATTCTTTCACCATAATCTGGTATTTAGAGCTTAATAGTTAATAGAAAGTTCTATTCACCCAATACAATGACTTTATACCGCAGATTCTTCTGCTCATCTCTGCTCTCCTGACTGTACTTGGGGAGCTGTGGTCTGTGGCCACTGAGCGCACCCAGTATCTGCATCAATGCCATCACTGGCTCCAGCTGCTCCTTGCCTTCTTGTTGCTGACAACAGCTATCCTGCAGCTCCGCTTCCTGTCTTGTGCGTCGTCATGTGTTTCCCAGGTAAAGAATAACATTTTAAAAATCCTCAGTATTCACTAATGCTACAAAATTAGTATTCAATAACCTTTATGTGCTATTTAGCTGCGGTCCCAACCAGACAACTTCATCAACTTCCACAGTGCTGCCCTTCTGTCACAAAGGTCCTCTCAGTGTGCAGCCATCCTGCTCACTCTGCTTGTTCTAAAGGTGAAGTATTGTCTAACACATGTCCACAGATATTTCACTTTGATTAAAAAAAAACAAATAAAAAAACAACTCATTCCCATTTCCAGCTGCTGGGAACCTTACGGTTTGTGCAGAGGTGGGCTGTGATAGGCAGAGTGTTGCACAGAGCCTGGAGGGAGCTGCTGGCTCTGGCTGTCCTACTACTGCTGCTGATGCTGCTCTGCACTCACCTTGGGAATGTGGTATGAGCAGAAAAACATCAGTTTAAGCAAAGATATTTAAAAAGGCATGATGAAAGATATTTGATATGGTTTGTTTCAGCTTTTTTCACAATCAGTAGAAGGTTTCCTGTCAGTACAAGACACCAGTGTCTCAGTCTTGTCCTTTCTTCATGGTCGGATCGTCCTGCAAAAAATCTGCCAGGTCCACCCCATCCTGGGCCCTCTCTATGGGCTGCTTCTCATGGGAGGAGGTGTTTGGGTTTTGGCTAGACTCTGTGGAGCTGTTCTTATCCATACTTACAGGTACACAACATTACCTTTCTTTTGACGCTATAGCTATGTTTGCTTTAACCAAAGTTGGGTTTTGTTCATTTTTCAAAGACAACAGAGTTTTGGAGACTGTCGAAGTTGTTAACCCCGTGAGAAACTGAGTTTTAAAGACAGAAATAGCCCTTCAAGCCCTGCATAGGCCTTAAACAAGTTTATAATCTTGCCATACTGACATTTGATGTTTGGCAATTTGTAGCTGTGAAAGTCTTCTAGGTGTCTGGTTACCTAGAAATTCCATCTTAAGATAGAAAGATAATGTCACGGTTCTGGGTCCTTTTGAGCCAGCATTTTGAGTTTCGTGTTCTAGTAATATTTTAATATATAATATATAATATTTTGTATTACGGGTTATGTTCAGCTCATTGGATTGTAATGGGAAAAAAAAGGGGAAAATGATCTGTAAATCTTTTAAACATCCCAAAGTCACCAATACCCATGACATCAGAGATGCAGGCTTTTGAGCACTGATAGCAAGCCAGACTTTTTTCTTCGATTACGTTATAGATGTCCTGATATCTTTGTTTGAAAATTCTTGGCAGACCTCATAATTCATGGCTTTGTATATGATGTTATGCTATCTTGGCCTAAACTCAGCAAAAGCGCTACCAAACCATGCTGGTACCAACCCCGTGTTTCACAAATGGATAACGTTCTTGGCAAGTTCTTTGGCGATGGCAAAAATAAAACCTCTTTCATTGCAAAGAAGTTGCACTTTGTAACCCTGCACAGTATTACACACCTTACTGTTGAAGTGATCTTTGAATTTCTATTACTTTTGTGATAATATAGTAATGTTTTCAGTAAGAATTTCTGTATTTCCACAAAAATGTAAGTGGTTCACAAAATTTTGAGTGCCACATTGTATCATAGGAAGTTTTGTTAAATGGCATGTTGTTTTGAATGTTTTGCTGAAATTTACTGAAGATGGAGCCACAGAGGGATCTTAAGTTTTAATAAACCATCTTCTTTCGTCTTCTAAAGGACAGAGCAGGCTGAGTTGTTTCATCCAACCATTAAACCTCAGGACTATCAAATGGTGGAGTTCTTCATCAAAAGGCTCAAGCTATGGATGGGACTCACTAAGGCTAAACAGGTGAATAGACTGTTAAATGTGAAGCATTCCATCAGGAAGGCTGAGTAACTAAAAATTGTAGCTGTTGTTGCTGATTCTGCACATTTGTTCCCCTTTCTAGTTCAGACACAGGGTGAAGTTCAAAGGCATGGACATCCCTCCTTCCAGGTTTTCACAGGAATCTTGTCTCTCCACCCTGTCTTCAACCGTTTCTTATTCCCGCTCCCCTTCTTTGTCCCCCGCATTCTCGTCCCCACGTCCTCTATCCTCGGCTCTCTCCAATAGGTCTAAGGACTCGTCAGTGTCTGAGCTTGGTTTTGAAGTCCAGCAGTACCTAGACAGTCTGCTGCCCCGTGTTACTGCTCTGCTATCTCGTTTTGATCGGGTCAACCAGATAAGTGAGGACATTTACAACCTAGAAATTAAACTGGACGAGGTTCAGACCAGGAGAAGGAAGACATGGATGAATTATGAGAAGAAAAGTGAAAGAATCCTTGGAGAGTTAGGAATACCAACAGGCGCAGATGAAGGAAGGATAACAGGAGAAGTTACTCACAGGAAGACCAGTCTCCATCATCCCAAGCTACCAGTCTCCCTTCCATCTACACTCCAGTCCACTCCTGTCCCTTCAGTGTACATGTTTCCCAATACATATATCTCCTATTCCAAGTTTGAGTCAGTAGCAGTTCAACCTCAGCCAGCTAGTGTTGTGCACTCTTCCGAAGTTGCCGACCCTACACCTGGAATCAGTGTATTGTATTCAAAAGCTCCTCAGTTTGAAAAGTTCCCCAGAAGAAGAGCATGGCATTCTGGGAGCTCTCATTCAGCTGATGCTGCTCAGAGGACATTCCAATTCTTGGAAGTTTCTCCATGTGGAGACGGAGAAGAAAATTCTGGTTTTAATCCCAGACCCAAAAGTGAAGAAGGCTTAAGAAGATCTATCGGGGATGGGATTCCAGTAAAGAGGAAAGCTTGGATCTCTGAAGGACCAGAGACTGAGTGAGAAACATCACAATGGAAGAAAAATGTCTGTGTCTGGAAAACAGAATCACTTGGAAAAAAATGACTGAAATAAAGACACAAGTTTTCGCTGTTGTCCATTTTTTTGAACATTTTACTATACTTTACAACATTCTATAACTAAGTGGTAAAGACACTGTGCTGTAGATATTTTCCTCTGCAGATGAATAAAGGCATGACCATTTGATTCAGACATTGCAATATGTTTGAAATCCCTCAGATAGCAATATTAAACTATAAACCAAGAACTTTGATTGGCCACAAGCAGGAGCAGCAGAAGGTCAGCTTATACATAAAAAATTCCAAATAGCAAAGAGCAGGAAACTAGAAAACATCCCTAATTAACAGAATGTTACAGTTTAATTTGACTTTATTCTCCACATCTTTGAACAGAGAAAGTGTTCCCTCATAACATTATGTGTGTACTTCTGTGTGTTTACTGTAAGTGTTAACATAGCCTAGGACTATTTTACATACACATGTTATATTGTTACCTAACCGAAGGAATAGAGATAATTTAAGGAACAACACATTCTGACATGTAAGTGCTGGAGTGACAAACCCAGTCAGTGGAACCAATGCTGGATAAATGGGGATAGTTCCATTAGGAAGAGCATCTAGCATAAAATCTTAGTCAAAACAAACTTTCAAATTCTGGTTCATAAAGAATGAAATTTCCATACCAGATTAATTTGGGCCAGGTTAACATTGACCGCCTCCGGTACTGTTGGCCAAGAGTGTGCTGGTGGAAACTGTGCTACTGCTGGCAGAAGACAAAGGAAGAAGAAAGGGGGGAAGGCATGTTAGGAGGGAGCAAGAGAGAAGGAAAGGCAGGAGTTTTTATATAAGAGTAGGGACTTTAAGTCTAAAAGAGAGAGAGAGCTGACTTCTACCATGGTGTAGATATGAACAGAAATGGAGGATGGGTGATCTTGAAAGAAGAGTATGTGAATAGTGAGTATTAGGCATTTAACATCATTTATATTCTGCTAAAGTTTCGTTGTTAATATAAATGCAAATATAATACCAATAAGCCTACAGTTTAACAACCCCTTTATAAAAACTTACATATAACAGAATAACTTACCGTTAACCTCACTGACCTATTACACAGTGTTCATAGAGCTCCACTGTATCTCTCCTCCAATCTGCATACCGTACAATAAACCTGTCGCCTAAGACACAAATTAACAAGACAGAGTAACACAACTAAAGTTATGAAACAGCACATAAGCAACAGTCACCTGTGTGTGTGAGGAATAAAAGAGGAACTGTCTCATTCTTTTACAAATGAAGTCAGTTATAAATCACAGCCTTACTTATTTGTGTACAGGATACTCTCTCAAGTCATCTGGTTTGACCAGTTTTCTAGCCCACGGTGAACAATGTTTGTTGACTTATGACTCAGCTAAATCTGTGCTAATTATATATCTTGTGTTTTTAGCATTCATAGTTTCCCTGTTGACAAAGGTTTTTTACTCAATTTGAAGATTTAATAATGGGCCCTTTGACCCTGTTCACAGTCAGGTCTGCTGTTCTAGTTTTCATTTTGCCCCACCTTCGCATTTGTTACAGTAGTCTTCATCTTTTGATTAAACTGTCCTATTGGTGAACCCAGTGCATGCCACGCTATGAGGCTATCTGAAAGACTTGTTTATGCTTGGTTAAGAAGTTAGATGAAAATTAGTGAGATGCAATATGGCTTCATGCCAAGAAAGAGTACTACAGTGCAAACATGATGTTTTCTATGAGAGCAAACATCATATGCTTTATCTGCTTTATCTACCAAATTAAAAAAGATGGTACACACCAATTTGTTAAGCTGCAAAAAAAAACAAAACCCAAAAAACAACTCTAATTTTCTGCTTTTAACTTCAGATAAAACTGAGATAAAAACCTATTGTAATTCGACATAAAATTTTTAGAAACAGGTTATCAAGCCAGATAGTTACTCTGGAAGACATTATCTTGGCCTCCAGTCACACTGTGAGGAATCTCACAGCCATTTCAATCAGGCTCGTTTCCTCTGTGAATATTAAACAAACACGTTTAAACGCTTTCTTGCATTTGTGTAGTATCGCTAAGGTTATGGCCTGGCCTGTATTTGTATAGCGCTTTTCTAGTCCCTAAGGACCCCAAAGCGCTTTACACAACCTGTCATCCACCCATTTACACACACATTCACACACTGGTGATGGCAGTTAGAAACACCCTGTCTCAAAGTAAGGCTCAAAAACTAGTTTTCATCTCATTACTGTGGAATGCTGTCCAAGCATGTGGGATATTCACTCTTCCAGCTTCTGCCGACATCCACAAGGTAAATGTTTCTTTCCTAATTAAATGTGTATTTATTAACTTCTCCTCGTGTTCCTTAACCTCTTAAGCCCCAACGCCCCCTGATACGGGGGCAAAAAGCAGGAGATCAGGTAGGCTTGGGGCTTAAGAGGTTAAAGCTGGAGTTCTTCTGCTACATCTCCCTCCTAGTCTCAGTACCATGACTGCCTCACTGGCGTCAGTGTTGGAGGTCACAGCCTGGAGAACCTGGTGATGTCATCAGACAGTATTATTCCATCTTTAACAGAGACCAGACTGTGGTGGCTCTTACCAAAGCTATATAATCACTCTGAAATCACCCTGTCCTTCAAGAACCTGTACATGTTTGTTTACCATTAATCTGTAGCCTACAACACAATGAACAGCACAGAACAACACAGCTGAAGCTACGACACAGCAAATACTTTGGTCACATGTGTCAATGGGGGAACTATAAATGCTAAAAAGAAGACATTTACAAAGCATCATTTCAGCTGAGTCATAAAATCAACAAACTTTGTTCACCGTATACGTTAGACTCGTCAAACCTGATGGCTTAAGAGTATAACAGAGAACAATATTTGTGTACTGTCAGGATTAAGGATGTGATTCCACTTAATCATTTGCAAAGAGTGAAATTAACTGTGTCTTAAAATATGTACAAATAGCAATGTGCCAAAATATACGTTTGTTTGAAAATGTTTCTATGTACAGCACCACTGAAGCCTACAACAGAATGATCAACATTGAGCAACACAACTGAAGCTATGAAACAACAATTACTTTTCCCACATGCGTCAGTGACAAAACTAGAAGTTAAAAACACGACACCTATGTAGCTGAACAGTCAACAAACATTGTTCACCGTACGCTAGACTGCTCGTGAAACCAGATGGCTTAAGAGAAGTAGAATATAGCAGATAAATAGGGGTGATCCTGAAGCCAGTTTGACTTTCTAAAAACAACATCAGTTCACTCAAAAACTTGGATCCACCACCCAAGGATGCTAATACTCCAAACCACACATTCTAAAACACGGCATTTGCGTAGTACGAGTTCAGCTGAGTCATAAAGTCAGCAAACTTTGTTCCCTGTAGGCCAAACTATTCATCAAACCTGATGGCTTAAGAGAATAACAGAGAACAATCTTGATGTACTGATTACAGATGTCATTTATTATCTGTTCACTTTGTCAAGAATGAGAAGACTCCCTCTTTTACAACATCAAAGATTTGCAAGCGTAGGAATATATCAAAGAGAACATAACTTTATACACACACACACAGAGAAAGCAGTTTAGAGACAAAGTTAGGGGCAAAGCTGAGATGCAGACAAATTATAGTGGATATATGGATGAGATGGGGGCAGACGGTGACCCTAAAGCGAGCAGTTGAAAGTAGAAGACATTTGTTGGGATTTTTGTTTGTATGTTCTTTTTTTCATCTGCGTGACTTATTTTATCTCACCTAAAAGGGATTTCATGTTCCAAACCCCTTTTCCTGTTTTTCCCATGAAACTCAAATGAAGTCCATGCGCGTTCACAAGACAGTTTAACCTGAGTACACTCAACCTATGGCGTGGATATGGAAGCGTTGAGCCAATGAATTGGCTTTCACTAAATGAGTGTTTAGAAAGCTAGGAAGGCGTTCATCTTGGATGCATTCATACTGAAAACCAAAGTCAGGCTTGCATCTGTAATTACAGTGAAAAGGGGATTACATTTACTGGTATTTATGAAGTACTTTTCTACTAAATTCTAGAACTTAAAGTGCTTTCTTTACTACAAGGCTCATTCACAAACATTCATAAAGGTGATTTTGTTTTCTACGCTAAAGCACGTTTAACCTAATACTCACACACTCGGACTCCAGGGGAAACGTGAAACGATTCAGGGATCAGTTTAGTGCCCAGGGATACTTTAGCATTAAGTTAGTGATCACTGATCTGATTGGTAGATGGCCCACTCCCTATCTACTGAGCTACAGCCGCCCTGGAGGATGCACTGCTCTTACACATGTGCAGTAACAATGCTGAACAAACGTCTGCTTACATTTATGCTTATTGTATGTATTTAAAAACTGAATTCAGCTTTTTCATCACTCTCTTTGTGTATATGGTCTTTATTTATTTGTGCATTTATTTTTACATCAGCCAAGAAAACAAAACTGGGACCAGCTCTGAGCATTACAAACTCACAAACACACTCCATGTCCCTCATTTGGGATGTATTAATATGGTTATCCTAGGGGCTGTCGATAATAAAGTGAAAAATATTAAGTGACATTAAAGTAATTTAATGCTTTGGAGACTTACATATATAAAATCTATTAAGAGTAAAATCCAGTTTGGATAGTTTTTAACTGTTAATAAACTCTGAAGAGGGGAATTCCAGAATAATATGAGAACCTCTGTTTTCATCCACATCGGTCTGAGAGGTAAAGCTGTGGCAAAAATAACGACAATAGCACTAAAAATTAGTTTAAGGGGATCACTTTTTTACACTTGCTGCAACAGTGAGTTTTATGTTAAGAAACTGATGATAAACTGGCCATTTTTATTCTCTGTCTCTTAAGCAGTGAGTGGTTCTTTGTTGTTTGGCTGGTGGCACTGAAACAGGAAAATCCAGCTGTTAGCTGTAATGTTTGGTTTGATAAAGCAGTTTGTAAATGAAGGCTATGTGGAGAAGACCCTGTGTGAGTCAGATGACAGGTGGTACACCAGACCATCAAGCTCAAATCAGAGACTCTGCATGGCACAGTCGGCTGGTGCAATCAGCACCGCGTCAAGCAACAAAATAATCACTTTTTACCCAAGCACATCAAAACAGTTTCTACATGCACATCACACCACGAACATAAACAATTTTCTTACCGAAGCACGATCAGGAATCCCATCAGTATGTCCGCAGGGAAAACAGGTCGATGTCTGTGATGGGCCAAAAAGGGGACAAGATGACTCCAAGGGCGAGATGACGCACTTTTTAGAGCCTTTTCTTTTTCTATACTGAAACAAGAAGGCGATAAACATGTTCTGAAACTTGAAGTTCTTATTTCTTAGAACCAGCAACATATACGGTGTTACATCTACGTCAGCTTTTTGGAGCAGGGCTCCATGGTGTGAATTAGGATTTATAGTTCTCTCATGAATGTCACCAAAACTTAACCTCCTCCATTGTCCACACTCTTACAGAACGTAGCCCACAAATTTCAGCTGAAAATCAGAAGCACCGGCTGTCTTTACACTGCGACTCAGAGTCAAGTTGGCCCCACCTTCAAATCCAACAAAAGTGGTGTCACACGTTTGTGCTGTAAAAATCGTTGTTTGTGCTTCTATCATTTAAAAGATATTAATAAAAGTTTCTAGAGGTCATCAGAGGTCAACCAGCTCCCCCCACATTAACGGAAACAAACAAAACTGGTGTCAATCAACTGTGCCATGCTTGTGCTGCTTCAACTTCCCTCTGATCAAGAGTATTTTGTACTCGGGAAGTTGCTGCCACGCAGAGTGAAAAAATATTTCATTATGATTTCTAGTTTTCTCTTCATAACCTTTTGTTTGAGAGGGAAATCCATGTTTGTGTCTTTTTGTGTCTCCCTCTCACGCAGACGAGGGGTTTTCGCACCGCTCCCTCTTCTCACTGATTGTGGTTGCCATAGCAACTGGTCCACATAGCTTTTTGGCTATGCCACCCTTTCTTTTTCAGGCTAAAACTCATCAAGGCCGATTCTGTGAGTGGTTAAGAGGGTCAGTGTGCCCTCTGTTTATCAGGACCATTCAAACACAGATGATCTGATATCGTCGTGTTGGTGTTGTTCCCAGATCAACATAGTAAATGTTGTTCCAGGATCAACATTGCAAGTGACCAATCACATTCTTGTGATGTTATTCTTTGGCGCGCCAAGCCATTCGTGCATTTATGAAATTCCAATGTTGCAAGGACAATATCAATTCTGCTTAGCGTTTATTAAAGGGTTAGGGTCCATTGATCGGCGGACAGAGGCAATTTCTCGCAGCTTAAGTACAGTTTTTTGTTTTACGGCGGTTTTTCCCAAAGTCGCAAAAGTATGACGTCACAACATTCTGATTGGTCACTTGCAATGTTGATCCTGGAACAACATTTACTATGTTGATCTGGGAACAACACCAACACAACGATATCAGATTGTGTATTCAAACACAGCTATTATTCATCACAAAAAACATGCTCACATCTTCAAGCCAATACTTCATTATATGACTGTCATTCAAAGTTTTGAGGGCTCACAGGTTTTAAAGGAAGTGGATTAGATATTCAAAATAAAAGCTCCTTAAAATCAAAGCTACTTATCACTGGCCTTTTATCATGCTCCATTATATGGACTTTCAAAACTAAAAGTTCATAACAATGATGATGAGATTAAAAAAAGGATTGGCTATCGCTTTCACAGAGACTTGGTGAGACTTGGTGCACACATATGTAGACTTTGTTTCACTTTTTAAATAAATGTAGTAAATAAAAGCACTATATATTATGAGATTTATTTATTTTTAATTGTTTTATTGGATTACATAAAAATATCATTCTACCTGTATGAAAATATATGCCACCCGTGCTTTAGAGTCTACAGATAGGTCCCTCCACAAAGTTGTACATTTACTATTTTAGTAAAGTTTTCTGGTCTGATATGCATCGTTTTCTACTGCAGTTGAGGGCAGAGTCAAAACAATGAAGTGGGCCTTTGCTGTGTTTGCCATGGTATCACTCTCGGAGTGTCTCGTTCAGTAAGTCAGACTGTAAATCATCCATTTACTGTCTTTGTTACTTTTTACTTGTTTTTCCTATTTTCCTACAGCCTTCTTTTAAACAGTTGCAGACATATATGACAGTGTCAGGTCCGCTAAAATAAAAGAAGCATAAATAATAAAACTTTTAAGAGGTTGCTGATATGAAAAAACACCTCTTTACATTTCAATAGATAGTTTTAGGATTTAGCCTAATGTGAAAAATATGGGTTAGGGTTATGCAGAGTGCATCTCTGTGCAATCATGCTTTAGAGTCTACATACACGTCCATTAACAGGGTTGTACACCTAATATTTGACTACAGGAGTAAAGTGTTCTGTTGTTCTTATATACATTATCTTCTATTGCAGTAGACGGCAGAGTTGAAACAATGAAGTGGGCCTTTGCTGTGTTTGCCATGGTGGCACTGTCTGATTGCCTCGTTCAGTAAGTCAGCCAAACTATATTTCATTCATTTCATTCTTCTTTTTATTTATTTTTTACTTTTACTATTTGAAATAAAAATAGTAATAGATCGACATGCTCATCTATCATATATGCAAATATAAGATACGTATAGTATAAAATATTTATATGGTAAATGGCCTGCATTTGTATAGCGCTTTTCTAGTCCTTAAGGACCCCAAAGCACTTTACACTACATTCAGTCATTCACCCACTCACACACTGGTGATGGCAAGCTACATTGTAGCCACAGCTGCCCTGGGGCGCACTGACAGAGGCGAGGCTGCCGGACACTGGCGCCACCGGGCCCTCTGACCACCACCAGTAGGCAAATATGGGGTTAGTATCTTGCCCAAGGATATTTGGCATGCAGCCAGGAGGCAGCCTGATTAGTGGCTGACCTGCTCTGCCACCTGAGCTACAGCCACCCTATGAAAAAACATCTGTTCACGGCTCAATAAAGTTTTCTAAATGTATCCTAACCCTGAATCCATGACCAATGATGCTGGTGTGAGTAACATCATCTAAACGTTGAACATGCATATCAACATACAGAGAACATGACAAACGTCTTGAGAGTATACCTTCATGTCTCCTCTTCTTCTCCAGTTGTCTTACTATGGAGTCATCTCAATTGGAACTCCACCTCAGTCCTTTAAAGTCATCTTTGACACTGGCTCATCTAACCTGTGGGTTCCCTCCATCTACTGCAACAGTGCAGCCTGCAGTATGTAAATCTATGATTACATAATATATTTCCACACAAAGTCAGAGAGTGATTCTGAAAATCTTTATAATGACAAAAAATATATATAAGGGTCAAGGGTCCAGTTTACAGTTCCCAAGACTGAGTTACCAAGGTCCCACCCTGGAGTCTGGCCCAGGTTAGGGCTGTAGGGGTTCGGTGACGATGACTGGCACTTCCAATAAACTAACTAGTGGTACATGTTATTTCTCTGGTGGGGAAGGAGCCTGATCTGGTGTGCAAGATTGAGATATTTCTAATAGACACACAATGTAGGTGAACTGTTTCAAGTATCTTCTACAAAGAGGAGACTCTGGCTGCTGGAGAGATTATAATTCTTGGCTGGCTTGGAGTTGAAGAGGTAGCCAGAGTGGGGAGAGTCTGTGCTTCTCTGCTCAAACTGCTGCCCCCGTTATCAGAACTCAGATTATGTATGGATGGTTTTTATATTTAGGATTTGGTGGTTAGGTAATAGAACTGAGGTACAGCATTTTGCCATAAACTGTGTTTTCTTTTTAGACAACCACGCCAAGTTTGACCCTGGTAGGAGCAGCACATACAGGCAGTATGGCAGACCTCTCAGTATCACGTATGGCACTGGCAGCATGACTGGCTTCTTGGGATATGACACTGTGACGGTGAGAATTTTAAAACAAGCAAAAACAACCCCAAAACATTCATCTGTTTAACAGTAAATGTAAAGACGAAAAAACCCCATGATAATCCCTACACAATTAAAACTATGTTAGCCTGAAAGTATTGCTCCAAAATATTTTTATAAACCAGAGAAAAGAACTTTCACTTGTTTAATAGTAATTGTAAAGGTATTACAGTGCTTTCACAGTAAAAACTGCGATTGCCTCAAAAAGTATTTATGAATGTAAAATCTGAAAATATAGAACACAAATGAAGGGGTTTTTCACATGTGATTCTTTAAATAACATTTGGAGTGGTTTTGGTTTTAAATGGAGATCAAGAATGGTGTGAAAAAGAACTTTTCAAAAAACCATCACCATTGGTTTTCAAACTGTACTGGCTTCATCTTTGGTTGGCAGGTTGCTGGTCTGACTGTGACAAATCAGATCTTTGGTTTGAGCCAAACTGAGGCCCCCTTCATGCAGAACATGCAGGCTGATGGTATTCTTGGTCTGGCCTACCCAAGTCTATCTGCCTCTGGTGCGACACCTGTGTTTGATAACATGAATGCAGGCTTGATCGACCAGAACCTCTTCTCCGTGTATCTGAGCTCATAAGTATTATGCAGGATTCTACCTGACTCTGGAAATTATCTATAGATGCCTCATATATTCATTTGTACTCAATTCCTAGTTTCCCTGTTGTTTGAACTGTTGGTTTTCTTTGCAGTAACACCCAGCAAGGCAGTGCGGTGACCTTTGGTGGTGTTGATACCAATCACTACTCTGGTTCCATCACCTGGATTCCTCTCTCCAATGAACTGTACTGGGAGATCACAGTTGACAGGTAAAACCAAAAGTTACAGCCCTGTATTGATTTCAGAATCATTATAGAGCTATATTGGCAAAGAAGTTTCTTCCCTGATGCATACTGTGTTGTCCATTACAGTGTTTCTGGTAATGGTCAGGCTGTAGCTTGTAATGGTGGCTGTCAGGATATTGTGGACACTGGAACCTCTATGATTGTTGGACCTCAAAGCAACATTGACAACATCAATGCCTGGCTGGGAGCAAGTAGCCAGAATGGAGAGGTCAGTGCTAAAAAAAAAACAAAAAATATAGAGAAATATCTTGAGTGAAGTACCACTTGGTCTGGTGAAACGGATACTCTTCAAACTTTACATATTTTACAGGCAGCTTATTTTATTTCATCAGTACATGGTCAGCTGCAACAACATTGGCCAAATGCCTGATGTGACCTTCAACATCAATGGACAGCAGTTCACTCTCCCAGCCTCTGCCTACATCAGTCAGGTAAGAATTCATTTCTTTATTTATATTTTATAACTTCCCTACATATTCCCTAAATTGTATTTTTTTTTCTGTTACATCTCCTCCTTAGTCCCAGAGCTATGGCTGCCTCGCTGGCTTCAGTGGTCAAGGTAGCAACCTGTGGATCCTGGGCGATGTCTTCCTCAGACAGTATTATTCAACAGAGGCCAGAATATGGTGGGTCTGGCCAAGGCTAATTAATCAACCTGAAGTCAAGTCCTTCAACATACATCTTTGTGTTATAGTCAGCTTTGTAGCATCAAATGTCTAATAAATAAATCAAGTTTTTAAAAAGTTAAAACAATTTCGTCTTTGTTTTTCTTGTATTTGTTTGTTTTTTTCCTTATTCATGAAGAACAAAGGATTTCAAATCTGTCATTTGTAGGCTGATAATGTCTAATTTGATACGATAATTAAATAAAAACACACAATTCAACAACTCTACAATACAAACTTACATATCACAGAATAACACTGTCTTAACCAGACTGCCCCATAAACAGTGTTCATAGGCCTCCAGTGTATCTCTCCAACATCAAGCAACACAGCTGAAGTTATGAGACAGCAAATACTTTGTGTCACATGTGTCAGTGGGATACATGTGAATGTATTAAAAATGATATTCCAGTAGTACAAGTCAAGGAGAGTATTAAAGTTGGCAAACTTTGTCCACTGCAGCAAACAACCTGTTTGTACTGGAGTTAGAATGTGATTTGTTAGTTTTAATTACAGTTTTTCATTTTTAAAATAATTACATTAATTTTCATCTTTTAAAATAAGAGAAAACATGCAATATAAGACCCTCTTGGCAGTTTTAGTGTTAAATGCTTTGAAGTCTATGGCGTTATTTTTGTGCCTCTATTCTGAGCGCATGTAAAAAAAAATTGCGAGCACAATTTTTGCATTTTTATGAGAAAATTATTTTGAGTGAAGAGAAGTTTAATTTGAGCAAACAAAATTCATTCTTATGTGCAAGGCATATATTTTACTGTTTGCTATTATTCATATACACACACAATTACAGCCCCTCTCGCTTAATAGTTGGCATTTGCTCTTCCTCAGATCTCTGCTATGTGTGCTGAGCTTATTTTATTTTATCTTTCCTTTTCCATCAGTACATGGTCAGCTGCAACAACATTGGCCAAATGCCTGATGTGACCTTCAACATCAATGGACAGCAGTTCACTCTTCCAGCCTCTGCCTACATCAGTCAGGTAAGAATTTCTTTCTTTATTAATATTTTATAACTTCCCTACATATTCCCTAAATTGTATTTTTTTTTTTCTGTTACATCTCCTCCTTAGTCCCAGAGCTATGGCTGCCTCGCTGGCTTCAGTGGTCAAGGTAGCAACCTGTGGATCCTGGGCGATGTCTTCCTCAGACAGTACTATTCCATCTTCAACAGAGGCCAGACATCTGCAGACCTGCTCTCAGTGTGTCGTTCGCGCTCACAACATCTCTGCTTCATGCACGCTCAATTGTCTGTACACCCCTATAAGTGTGCCACAACCCCAACCAATCACATACTTGGATGCAAAAATTCTGACTGGCTGTTTTGGTCTCCAATCAGCTCGCTAGCTACTGCATTCCAGAAACAGGGTCCAGAATGTAAATCCAGTGGAGTGGTTTGGTTTAAACTAGATTAAAACCAACAATAGTCTTAAAAAATGTTAAAATAAAATAAACATACTAACTGAAAATAGATTTAGCTGCATTCTGGACCCTAGCACTATTTATATATTTATAAAGAATTACAAACAATAATTATATGATGCTTAAAGCAGGTTTATTTAATTAATATCCAATTTATTTCCAATTTGCATCGAATTTATCAGTGTGAACATGGTGTTGTGAGTCTGACTGAAGGACTAATGTGATGGTAAGGTGTCTGCTGCTCTGCTTTGAATATTAGTAAGAACTTGACACAGAGATTACTAAATGGATTTTAAGAAAAATTGTGCCCAAGTTCAAGACCATATTCATTGTTGTTTGTTGTTGTTATTTTTGGGGGGGGCTTTCTACTTTTTTTTCACAAGAATTGTTAGTTCCCATAGAGTTTTGGGGGGGAGTGAAAATTAAAAAACAAACAAACAGCCAAAGCAGGTTAATTAATTTCTGGAGTGTAATTTGCTGTTAGTTGCCTTTTCCAACCCCTATTTGTGTGTTTGTCACTTTTATCTGGGGTAAAAGAAACTGTGCTTGAGATTGATTGTTTCTTTCTCTTTTCCAGCTTGAAGGCTGCTGAAAGACCACAAAGTTTTTCCCCCTGTGCTACTCATGTCAGTGCAAGGGGAACTCGTAGAGAGGCCAGGGTCTAAAAGGGATCCTGGAGAACCTCTGAGGGTGTTATGTGCTGGTTTGCATCCAAGGCCAACATCTGTTTAATTAGGCCGACAAATAAATGTTGACCATTTTCAGGTCTTCTTCTAAGCTTCAGTAGTTGTTCGAGGTTATCAATACACTTATGTTTTATATATCGAGTATTCTGGGATTGTAATCTTGTCTCATATTGAATTTGTTTTTCACTCTTAAATGTCCAGTGCTGTTCGTTGTAGTTGTCTTCTATGAAATAGTCACCAGTGCACAAGCCAGAGTCCAGAACATAATCTGGTGGCTGACTCTGATGTCTATGATAAATTTCAAAACATCATAATCCATATCCCCAGGGCAGAGTGGCACCTCTGTAGAAAGCTCCACAGCTACCAGCCCCAGAGACCACATGTCAATTGCTTCATCATATGGAATACCAAGCATAACCTCAGGTGCACCATAACCAGCCATCCCCACACAGTCACCAACTGAGTGGTATATTTACATAAGAATAATCATAATAATTTTCATATACTTATTCTGTAAGTTTTTTTATGATGCATTGAAATGCATGAAACCTACAGTTTATATATAGAATTTGAGGTTTTAGTCATTAAAATCATATGGATGTATTAAATTAGATACATACAGATAAATTAAATAAACAATAAACTGTGAGCTATGTAGTAAAAGCAAGTTCTTAATTTAGAAAATGGTTATAAATTAAGAAGGTGATAATAGTTAAACCATTAAAAACCTAAATCTAAGTAAATGCTCATATTGTTTGCTGTTATCATCTGGCGAGTTTCTTTCTCAGTTACATGTCAGGCCCAGTGGACTAAATCATAAAGGCAAGGAATGCAGAAAGTGGAGTAAGATAAACATGATTGTTGATAAAAACAAATTCTAATGTAAAATGTCACAAAATAGCTATGAATATCAAACTTAACATAATTAATTAAGGCTCTATTATTTTGTGGGAATTTTGGTGCTGGTAATGTTGATTTGATAGGTAGGGATGAAGAAATAAATGACCAAAAACAGATCATTTTCACCCAGAACAACCAGGATCAGAAGATGTGAAGAAAAAGGTATTTCTACTTAGCATAAGCTAGCAGGATAGTCCTAATTATCCACCGTATCCATGGTGTAACACATATACCTTTACCCTCTTGGAAAAATAAATAAATAAATAACAGAGACAAAAAAATCCTGCCCTATATGGACAAGAACTTCATGGTCAGTGCTTCTTTTTCATGCCAGTGAGTGTTTTGTTGTTGTTTGGATTGGGTGTGGCTCAGTCAAAGGATGTCTGGTCAGGCTGTTAATTAGTCATAATTAATCTCGTATTACTGCAGGATGTATGATTGTAGTTTTTATTGTTTGCTAAGTAATGTAATCAATGAAATGTTCAATAAACCATGAGCTGTGTCAATTCAAGACATAAAAAACCCATTATTAATTATAAAAGCTAATAACAGCAGATAAAGTAGATAGATTCTTAACGTTTGCTGCCACCTGCTGGTCATTTTTTAATTTCGCTCTCAGTTACAAGTCAGGCCCAGTGGGGTGAAGGCAAGCAGACAAACAATGTGGAAAGTGTGTTGCTGTAGAAATAGTAGTAGCCAACTTTTTCACACTTACTTGTAGCTTTTGTAGTAGTGCAGTAGTTCATTTCATCCAGTACAGTGCAGCACTTGTTTAAGGTATCACATTTATTGCACCTGTTATTAGGCATTTACTGACTGTTTAGGTTGTACAAACCAAAATCAAAGCCAAAATCTTTGGTAAATAGCAACATTTAGTCTAACACTGGGCATCTTTTTTTTCTTCAGTGGTGTGATGTACAAATTCGCATTATTTATTTATTCAATCAAGTTAGATTTGACTGATTTTCAAATACGAAAAGCAAATCTGACCAAACAGACCACTGCATTTGGCAACAAGTGTGCTTGTGGCTCAATATGTGCACTGTTATATATGATATACACAGCTACATGCTGTTCTGGGTCAGTTGGCTCTCTGAAATTATTTGTATACCTTCTCTGGTACCAAACTGACCCACTGAAATCTTAAAATGTAAAGCAGTCATACACATGAAACCATGGATGAAACTGTAAAATTCTTCCTGCTGCTTCTATTCTTGAGAATTGGTTGAATCCAAAACCGCTTTCTTCTTTTATTTACTTAACAGATAATACAAAATATTATAGTATAAAATAGTCAAATAGTATAAAATATGTAGATAAATAAAATAAATCTTAGCCTACAACACAGTAATCAATATTAAGGTAATATTGATTACGTGGCTTTATTCCAGTTTGACGTGGAAAGCAGGAATAAAGCCACTGACCTCCCAGTGAATTTGGGACATTTCAATCTTCTGGACATTAATTTACAAAAGACAGCATATAATAACATAATATAACATTTTAATATATCTGGGTCCACCAGGTGTGCTATCTCAATCCAGTTCAATTCAGGTCATTTCAGTTTAGTTCAGTTCAATACTTTATTGTCCAACTAAGGGAAAATCGTTTAACAGCAACAGCAACAACAAAAATAAACAAAACAATAATAAAATGCCACAAGACAGTTATTTTCCATTGCTGTAGGGATAAAAGAAACCTGGAGTCTTTTGGTCTTCCTCACAGGTACTCCAAAACGACAGCCAGCGGGCAACAAGTCAAACTCACTGTGAAGTGAATGGTTAAAACAATTTACAATAAAATGAGCCTTCTTCAGCACATGCTTGTTATAAATGGCCAAAAGCCCATCTTGCCAATGCCCTGACATTTTGCTGGTAGTTTTTACCAAAAGTCCCAATCGATTCTTGTTCTTCAAAGTCATGTTACAAAACCAAGTAGCGACATTTCAGATGAGACATTAAAAGATCTCATTTTCCTTAAAAAGAACAGTTATTGCTGAACTTTTTGAGTAGTGGCATCAGCATGAGGTTCAAAACACAGTTTGTGGTCAAGAACAACCCCTAAATACTTGTAGCTCTCCACAACCTCAATATCAGCAGCTTTAATGATAGTAGGTGTTGAGCTTTAAGAAGACTTCCTAAATTCAATAACAATGTCTTTTATTTTTGACACATTTAGTGGAAGAAAGGACTCATCACACCAAGCCACAAAGTCTTCTACAACCTGCCCATGGCCTGTCTCGTCCACCACAAGAAGACTAACCATCACTGTGTCATCAGGAAACATCATGATGTGTCTGCTAGTGAAATTACTGCGACACTCATTGGTATAGAGAATGAACAGAAGGGGTGAGAGCCCCAGTAGAAGAGGAGAGCACATGAGAAACTACGCCTTCACGAATTGTGACCTATTAATCAAAACATCTAGCACAGGGGTGGCCAACTCCAGGCCTCGAGGGCCGGAGTCCTGCAGGTTTTAGATGTGTCCTTGATCTAACACAGATGGCTAAGTGACCTCCTCAACATGTCTTGAAGTTCTCCAGAGTGTGTTGACACAGGGTGAGATCTAAAACCTGCAGTACACCGGCACTCGAGGCCTGGAGTTGCCCACCTCTGGTCTAACACCCAACTGATCAGACTAGGTCAGGGGTGGGCAATTTCAGTCCACGAGGGCCAGTGTCCCTGCAGGTTTTAGGTCTCACCTTGGGTCAACACACCTGAATCACATGATTAGTTCGTTACCAGGCCTCTGGAGAACTTCAGGACATGTTGAGGAGCTAATTTAGCCATTTAAATCAGCTGTGTTGGTTCGAGGACACATCTAAAACCTGCAGGGACACCGGCCCTCGTGGACTGAGATTGCCTACCCCTGGACTAGGTCCTAGTCTGATCAGTTGGGTCCTAGTCACTAGGATCAAGCTTGAAGTGATCAAAAAGCCTACCAGCAAGTATCTGTCCAACATAGCAAATCTGATTTACTATCAGAATTTGTTCTGTTCTTACTGTGTCCTGGTTAACTTGCAGACAAGGAGCAAGAACATATAATGACAGCCATAAAAGCACATGGCGCTGTTGAGATATAAGAAGTCATGCTCCTCCAGTGAATGGAAAACATAGAAAAAACACTGATAACCTACATCCAGAGTTCATGCCAGAGCCTCTCAATCCTGTGAATTTTTTTTTTTTTTTACATCTACCCATTTTCGGGTGCTCTTTTTTATGCATATTGAAATGTGAGGCAGTGTTTGCCCATGAATATTTCAAAAACCATTAAACATAAAAGCCCGGACAAAATCAAAAATATCTGTAAATAGTGTACAATGAATAGAACAAAATTGTGGAATTTCCAAATATACTCTAATTATAACTGAGAAAATAATTTAGTTTAATATAATAATAATGGATTGGATTTATATAGCGCTTTTCAAGGCACCCAAA